CAGTCTTGGCCTAACTTTGGGTTTCCTTCATTTAGTTTCTTTCTGTTGCCCCTTGGGTATAGTCATTTCTTTCTTCAGCTCTTTGTATTGCTTCAAGAATTCTCTGAAAGGCTGGTTTTGTGAACACAAATTCTTTCAGCCTATTCATGTCGTGGAACATTTTTCTTTCCCCTTCAACTTTAATAGACATTTTTGCCAGGTAAAGTATTCTGGGTTGGCATCTATGGTCATTTAGAACTGGGAATACTTTGGTCCAGGCTCTCTGGCTTTCATAGTTTGCACTGAAACATCAACTGTAATTCTGATGGGTTTTCCTTTATATGTGACGCTGTTTTTCTTTTGCAGCTTTCAGTATTCTCTCTTTGTTCTATACATTTAGTGTTTTTACTATGATATGTCATAGGGAGTTTTTTTCCTGGTCCTGTCTATTTGGCATTCTGTGTGCTTCCTGTATTTGTATGATCATGTCTTTTGGGGGGGGGGAATTTTCTTCTACAATCATGTTGAGGATCTAATCAATACCATTATCCTGAGATTTTTCTCCTTCTTCTATGCCTATTATGTGTAAATTTGGTCTTTTTATGATGTCCTACATTTCCTGCATATTCAATTCCTGTGTTTTTTAAAAAAATTCAGTCTTTTCTTGAGTGGTCCAATTCTTCAACTTTATCATCATGTCTTGGTATTCTGTTTTACATTTCATTCATTCTTTTGGTGAGGCTTTTTCCTATCATTTCTAATTGACTTATTGAGTTTTTTGCTTCCTTCTTCATTTCACCCTGAGTTTTCTTCAATATTTGTAACTTTTTTGTGAATTCAGTTAGAAGTTTATCTCTATCTTCTTTTAGTTCTTTGGTTTGTTTGTTTGTGCGTTCTTCAAATTCATTGAATTCTTTTATCATGTTTATGATTGTTCTTTTAAATTCTGTGCCCTGGGTTATCTCTAGGGGGTTCTCATTGTAAAACTCTCCTATAGAACTGTTGGTATTTGATGGGGACATATTTGGGTTTTTCATATTATTTTTTCATTGTGATTTTGGTATGTGGATCTCTTTAGTTGTTTGTGATTCTGGTGTGAGATTCAAGCCTTCCTTTGTTGAGTTGAAGTTTATTTCTGTTTGTATACTTGAAGTACCTTGGTTGTTTTCTTATTGGGTATGAAGAGCTTATTGGTCTAGGCTTCAGGTTCTCCCTTTTGATTTTATATTGGGGGACCAGATGGCTTTGGTCCAGCTACTCAGGAGTTCCCACAGAGGCCTAAGTCATGCAAGAATCACATGCTCTCAGGCTTCCTCCTAAGGTCTGGGTGCCTCTAACAAGCAGGCACAGCACAATTTGGGGAGCTTGTTAGGCAGAGGCTGGATTCGGGCAATCTCAGGAAATCTGCCAAAATCTGGGTCCCTACTAAAAGGCAAGGAAACCTAGTCCTGCAGCAGTGGATGAGGCTGCAGATGGTCCCAATGTCAGGTGATGGGCATGGAGTGATCTGGAGAGCTCACCAACATGTGAAACTAAGAGGGTAGCCCAGAGATCTGGGGTGCTAAGAGCAAAAGGGGCCTGTGCCTAAGGCTGGAAGGAGATTGGCTGTAGAGGAGTCAAGGTGCAGTGGGCAGGATCAGACTTACTAAGGAAGAAGGCTGGTCTGGGGAATTCAAGGCAAACTGGGCGTGGGGACAGCCTGTGAAGGCTCTAACAAACTAGTCTGAAAAACTGAGCTGGTCTGAGGGTAGGGGATCAGGACACAATGGGTGGGTCAGACTAAGAGGGTAGTCCAGAGATCTGGAGTACTGAGAGCAAAAGCGGGCCTGTGCCCAAGGCTCAGTTACTGCTGTTTTAAGACAGCATATCCATCCATAGCCCAGGCCATCCTTGAACTCATGATCCTTCTACCTCAGCCTCTTGAGTGCTGGGGTTACAGGTATGAGCCCCCATACCCAGCTTCCCTAGAGGGTTTTGGTAAGAAGATTGACATGATCCAGCCTACATTTTAGCAGAATCATTCTAAATAACAGATCTGAGAAATGACTATGGGGAAAGAGAGGGACCCGCAGGAGTATTTGGGGAATGTTGCAATATCACTGGAGCAAGAAGAATGTAGGTTGTTGTTGGTAATTGTTGGAGATGGTGAGATCTTTTCTTTTGCATATCTTTGGAAGCTGGCCAATAATATTTTCTGATGTGTTGCATATGAAGTATGTGAGAAAGAAAATATACGAGGTTATTTTCAAGTTCTTTTTTCACTTTAGCCACCTCCAAGTATGAAATTTCCATTCACTGCGTTGAGAAAGAGCCTGAGATGAACAGATTTACAGAGGTAAATCTGCTAGTATAGAAAAATGTTATGTAAAATTAGCCTGTTACCTCTCCCGGTGGAGACAGATATCAAGTAGACAATTGGAAAAATAAATTTAAAGACATCTAGATGTTCAGATTAACAGCACATGGATAGCATCTAAAGCCAAGTTTGTCTTAATAATGGAGTGAGGATTCAAACTCAGGCCCATGAACCGCTACACTATGATTGCATCTTGCCTCTAACATGAGCATTATCATCAATTTTTCACCCATTTTACCCTGAATTCTTCCCATGTTATGGAGTGTGGTTTCAACTTAAATTGATAGTAATCAGTATTTTCATTTTCTGTGTAGTAACTCAGATATTGTAATCCTGATGCAAAGTTTGAAAGTTTCATATTTTTACAAAACAGGCATTTTTTCAACATTGTGAAATATGTACTTTGTGCTCTGTAAACCTGTAAATAGACAGCTTAGGTTTTCCACGAAATGTTGTCTAAAGTGGATTTATATTATATTGGGAGCCCTGCTGAACTCTTCATGAAATTTGATAGTGTGGGAGACAAACTTTGGCTTCGTGTGGTGGTAAGAACATAGGACTTGGAGTCTGAGCCCTGGTTACCACCTAATTTTCAACTTTGGATATCTAATTTTCCGAAAAGTAAAATTGTGGTGCTGATTTCAATGGACTGTGGTGAGAATTAGATACATTAAAATTTTTTTCTAACTTCTTTGTCCTTTTGAGAAAGGGTCTCCCTGTAGCCCCAACTGGCCTGGAACTTGCTATGGAGACCACGCTGGCCTTAATCTCAGAGTTTCGTCTGCCTCTGCCTCCTGAGTGCTAGGACTGAAAGCATGTACCACCACACCCAGCTGTTTTATTTATTTTTATTTTGTGTGTATGAGTGTTTTGTCTGCATGCATGTAAGTGCACCCATGGAGGTCAGAAAAAGGCATCAGATCTCCTGGAACTGGAGTTACAGATAGTTGTTAGCCACCATGTGGGTGCTGGAAACCAAAGCTGGGTCCTCTGCAAGAACAGTCAGTGCTCTTAACCATTTCTTTCTTCGGCATCTGGAAAGGGTAGAATACCCAGGTGGTGGCATTCCAGAGTCACCATTTAGGAACCAGCAAGAGAATAAAGAGAGGACTAGTCAGGAATATGTACCATTACCTAGACCACCAACCTTGAATTGAGGACTGAGTCCACAGAAAAGTGAAGACCCATCTGCACCCACCACTCAACTATATGGGAGTTGAACTCTGGTCCTCATGATTGAGTTCTCTTGACCACTTAGCCATCTCTCCAGCCCCCCTCCAAAGTGTTTTTTTGTTTTTTCATTTTTTGTTTGAAAAGTAGCAAAAAACTATTCAAAATCAAAGCAACAGTACAGATCAGAAAGAAGTATGCTATTAGGGGTGGCAGCCATGGGCTGGAGAGATGGCTTGGTGGTTAAGAGCACTCACTGTTCTTGCAGAGAACCTAGAGGCAGCTCACAACCTCCTGTAACTCCAGCTTCAGAAGATCAAATGCCCTCTTCTGCCCTCTGTGGACCCCTGCATATATGTGGTGCATATACACTCATGTTAACAGACACAAATGTAAATAAAAATAAATCAATTTAAAAGAAAAGTTAAAAAGTCTACTTATGAGGGCACTCAGGAGCCAAAAGTGCTTTTTCTTCAATTCTTCTTTTTCTTTCAAAGGATAGCATCAGAGAAGGGAAATAAACTGGGGTGCCATGAGTTTTGTTCTTTTATTTGTTTTTGCATTTACATTGTCATTTGAAGAACCTACTTGCCTTAATATTTGAAATAATGGCTTTAGGAATAACAGGCATGTCTAGACTCTTTTAGTTACTGCAAAATATTTTGTATTTCCCTAGCCTCCTTGCTCAAAGTAGTTTATACCTCTGTGTGTGTGTGTGTGTGTGTGTGTGTGTGTGTGTGTGTGTGTGCATTTTCTTCAAAATAATACTTCTGTTCAATACAATTCCTCACAGGAATCTTGGAAATTATCAGGGATAATTAGACAAACCAAAAGGTACTTACTGGAATTCCTCCTATGAACCCAGAGTTATGCATGAGAACTTTGGACAGGCTGTTCCTGGGAGTCACTTTGGATGGGATGTTCCCGGGGTGTCACTTTGGATGGGCTGTTCCCAGGTGTCACTTTGGATGGGCTATTCCCAGGTGTCACTTTGGGTGGGCTGTTCCTGGGTGTCACTTTGGATGGGCTGTTCCTGGGTATCACTTTGGATGGGCTGTTCCCAGGTGTCACTTTAGATGGGCTGTTCCTGGGTGTCACTTTGGATGGGCTGTTCCTGGGTATCACCTTGGATGGGCTGTTCCCAGGTGTCACTTTGGATGGGCTGTTCCTGGGTGTCACTTTGAATGGGCTGTTCCTGGGGTATCACTTGGGATGGGCTGTTCCTGGGTATCACCTTGGATGGGCTGTTCCTGGGTATCACCTTGAATGGGCTGTTCCCAGGGTGTCACTTTGGGTGGGCTGTTCCCAGGATGTCACTTTGGATGGACTGTTCCCGGGTATCACTTTCGGTAGGCTGTCCCTGGGGTGTCACTTTGGGCGGGCTGTCCCTGGATGTGGAGGTTAGTGCTTTGGTCTCAGCTCTTGCATCTTGCATTCTGTCACTGACATTGCAAAGGCTTCAGACATGTTTTCTTCTTTCCTCAGAAGGAAGATCATGCACAGTCGAGGCTGGAGAAACCACAGGTCTGTAACTGAGTTCATCCTCTTGGGCTTCTCTAGAAATCCCAGGACCAATTGGATCCTTTTCTTCCTCTTCCTCTACTTATTTACAGTCCTGGGTAATGGGCTTATTGTTACCCTGATTAGAGTAGATGCACGTCTCCACACACCCATGTACTTCTTCCTCAGCATCCTCTCTCTGCTGGACCTCAGCTATGCTACCACAATGGTGCCCCAGATGTTGATTCATCTAGTAAGCAAGAAGAGGACTATCTCTTACGTTGGGTGTTTGGTCCAGATGTACATTTTCCTGACAGTAGGCATCACTGAGACCTGGATTTTTGCAGCTATGGCCTATGACAGGTATGTTGCCATATGCTACCCACTCCACTATGGAGTCCAGATGAGCCAAACTCTGTGCATAACCCTGGTGGTCAGCTCTACCCTTTGTGGTCTCATCTGTGCCCTTGTCTACACAGTCTTTGCAATGAATCTGCCCTGCTGTGGCCCCAATGAGATCAACCACTTCTTTTGTAAAATTCTTGCTGTCTTGAAGTTGGCCTGTGCAGACACATTCCTCAGTGACCAAGTGGACTTTATCCTGGGTTTCATCTTGCTTCTGATCCCATTATCCCTCATCCTGGCCTCATATATTCATATCTTTATGTCTATTCTAAGGATTCATTCTACCCAGGGATGGATGAAGGCCTTCTCCACCTGTGCCTCAAACATCACTGTGGTTACCATGTTCTGTATTCCATGCATGGTCATGTACATGAGGCCTGGCTCTGAGTCCTCCCCAGAAGATGACAAGAAGGTAGCTTTGTTCTACAATGTCATCTCTGCCTTTCTTAACCCCATTATTTATAGCTTCCAGAACAAGGACGTGAAGAAGGCTTTCCTCAAGTTGATTGGAATGATTGAGGACACTCACTAGGCTGTGGATCATGGCCATCTGCAGTGCTTCTGGTCTCTTGTATATTCCACCACAATTTCACTGAGGTTCTTGGGGTGAATGAAAGAAGATTCCCAGGATGACGGAGATACAGGGGAAAGGCTCTCACAATAAGTGGTTAATGGAAACTCTGGGAGAGGACTCAGAGAGAATTGTGCTCATGGACTAACTACATCATTGACTTTATGTGGCTTTGGAAAAGTCACCTTACTTCTCTGGGGGTTAATTTCTAAATGGTAAAATGCGCTTCATGACATTCATAATGCCTAAATAATAATAATATCTAATGTATTTCTGTAACTGTCACTGTTTTATATGCCCTTCTCTTTTTGTGGTGGTTTTGTTTGTTTCCTCTTCCTCCTCCTCCTCTTCCTCCTCTTCCTCCTCCTCCTCCTCGTCCTCCTCTTCCTCCTCCCCCTCTTCTTCCTCCTCCTCCTCTTCTTCCTCCTCGTCCTCTTCCTCCTCCTCCTCTTCCTCCTCCTCCTCCTCCTCCTTTTCCTCCTCCTCTTTCATCTACTCATTCTTGTTTTGAGATCTGGGTCTCACTATGCTGCCTAGGCTTTTCTAGAACTCATGTGCTTAAGCAATCCTCTTGCATGAGCTTTCTGGGTAGCTGGGATACAGACGTGTACCACCTGGTATGTACTTATTCCTTTAATTTATACATTAACTCTGGAGGTGAGCATTATCTCTTATATGCAAACAAAGAAACCGAAACATAAAAACATTAAATAAATTTCTAAATCTCACAAAAAGTAAAAATAGCTGAACTCTGAACGCAGGGATAGTTCCAAAGCCCAGGCTCTTGTCTGGTATATTATGGTACATAATTCTTAAGTAACCTTTAAAGAATTCTGAGGCTTAGCTGAGGGAAGATAAAAGATTTAAGACTATTATTCTAAGGTCATAAGTGCAGGGCCAGATCCTTGAAGCCTAGAGCTCTGTTGGGAACTTTAGTTCTTCCTTACCAGCATTCTATCACCTGAGCAAATAGAATTTACAGTGCGATATTAACTTCTCAACAAATGCTGCTGAGGGAGTTTTCTCTGGTTCCACCTTTATTTTGAATTGCTCAGCTCCGCTGTCAGATCTTCGTTTTCATGGGCGTCTCTCCTATTTCCTATTTCATTTACTTCAGTTGTAGCTTCCAGGTGCCTAGACTTTCATTTACAAAGAGAATGTTTTCATTTCAACAGCTGATTTAGCCTGTAATTTCCTTTACCACCACAGAGACCATGGGACAGTGGGGAGAGCCCTGGTCTTTAGCCTTGGCTTCATTTGTTGAGATCTTAGAACCTCAGATTCTCCATAATTCAGTCCTGTCCTACACAAAATGGAGAGGATGATCATGTTTTATTGGCTGTGCTATAAAATTATTTTAAACCTCAAATGGGAACAATACTTAACATTCAAATAATTGTAGTATAGCCGGGCATGGTGGCGCACGCCTGTAGTCCCAGCACTTGGGAGGCAGAGGCAGGCGGATTTCTGTGAGTTCAAGGCCAGCCTGGTCTACATAGTGAGTTCCAGGACAGCTGGGGCTACAGGGAGACCATAAATAAATAATGGTAGTATGCATTACACAGTCATTACCATCAAACAAAATATCTCCCTGCACTGTTTGTTAAATTATGAACAGGAGTTTGTGTTTCTCAGCTTCAAATATGAAGATAAGATTTATTGAGAAGTCAGGAGTTATGGGTATGAGGACACTCATGGTAGCAAGTGACCACACATACAGAGTATGCATTCAACACACACACACACACACACAGAGAGAGAGAGAGAGAGAGAGAGAGAGAGAGAGAGAGAGACTACTGTGACATACTTGTAACATTAGCTGCCACGTTAACCAGAAGCCAAACCATTTCTGATGTTATCAAAGCAAGTCAAATTTCTGTCATCCTAGTTTCAGACAAATACCAAATTGCTTAGGAAAAAGTTACAAAAGATGAATCTTCTAAGTCAGATACTTTCACATAGACATCTGTTTGACATGATTCAGTTAACAAAATATTCCAAATGTTAACAGTTTGAAAGAAGTTTTAACTGTCAGCCAAGAATCATTGAAATATTAAGAAAAGCTAAAAGACCAATTAATAGTGAAAGTGTGCTTTGCCCATTAACAACTTTCTCCAGAAAAGAAACAGGGGGATCACCAGCCTATAGTGCTTTTAATATTCCCCAAGCATTACAGGAACACAGGTTCCAAGGGTGATGTGGAACTCTGAGAAGCAGCACTAGGGTTGCCTGCCTGGAGGACACAGCCTCAGAGGAAGAAGGCCCTGGGGAAAGAGCTTTGGTTTTCTGGAGGTAGAACTGGAATTGTCAGCCACACATACTGATTGTGTTTCTTGGGGGCTTGTTAAGAAAATTGCTCTGAGGTCATTAGGTGGGGTACGTGAGGATCGTCTGCTGAGACAAAAGGGACTTTCTTCTTAGACTTCTCACAGCACTGAAAACCCACAGTAGGCCCATCTTCCAACATGACCCCTCTGTTTGGGCCCCTGAAGACTTCTCAAGGGTCTGCATAGGCTAGTCTGTGTAGACCCCTCTTCACCCACTTTCCTAATGTCTCCTCATTTGTTTATAAAAGTGTCATTTAGGTTTCTTCAAGAAGTTTCCTAATTATTTTCAGCCTAGATGAAAGTTTTAGTTTCTCCAATAATTCTTAATACCACTAATTAAGTGCCCAATTTGGCCTCAGAAATAAATAGAATATCAAGCTGAAGAAATCTTAAAAGGTACAACTGGCATCTTGGTCTTAAGTCCCTTTAACAAAAAGAACTCCTAAGATGATTTCAAATATGTTTGCATAATGCTGTTTCAAATGTGAATGTTTTTGGATTGCCCTTTCTCTCATATCAAAACAATAACAGCAACAACAGCAAAAAAACAAAAATACAAAAATAAAACAAAACAAAAATAAACCAAACTCTTTCCCTCAAACTCAGCAAAAATTGGAAATAGAAGGAAATTTCCTTGCTCTAATAAAAGACATCTACAAAAACTTCCAACTAACCTCACATACAAAAATGGCGTATCCCAGCCTGGGATACATGGGACCTTGTCTCAAAAACAAGAACAGGGGACTAGAGAAATAGCTCAGCAGTTCAGAGCACTTGCTGCTCCTGTATGTGACTGGAGTTTGGTTCCCAAGACCCATATTGCACGGCTCACAACCACCGGCAACTCCAGCTTCGGGGAATCTGATGTCCTCTTCTTGCCTCCATGGGCACCTGCACTCACATGCATACACATACACATACACATACACAGACACAGACACAGACACAGACACACACACACACACACACACACACATACACACAGATACAGATACAGACACAGACACAAACATAGACACATACACACACAGATACAGACATACACAGACACAGACATAGACACACACAGAGACACAGATACAGACACACACAGACACAGACACACACAGACACAGACAGAGACACACACAGAGACACAGATACAGACACACACAGACACAGACATAGACACAGACACAGACAGAGACACACACAGAGACGCAGATATACACACATACATACGTACACACACAGACATAGACACAGACACAGATACAGACACAGACACACACAGACACAGACACACAGACACAGACACACACAGACACACACACAGACACAGACACAGACACACACAGACACACACACAGACACAGACACACACACACACACAGACACATACACACACACACACACACCATTAAAAATAAAATAAACCAGACTAGATGTGGTGACGCATGTATTTAATCCCAGCTCTCGGAAGGCAGAGGCAGTTGAGATTGAGGCCTGTGAGTTCAAAGTCAGCCTGGTCTATGAAGCAAGTTCTAGGCCAGTTGGGATTAAGGAAGACCCTGTCTCAAAAATAAATAAGTAAATAAATAAATAAAATCTTAAAAACAAACTCCTGGGGGCTGCAGAGATAGTTCAGTGATTAATAGCACTTACTGTTCTTGCAGAGAACAGGAGCTCAGTTCCTAATACCTATATGGCAGCTTTCAACCACCTGTAACTCAAGGTCCAGGGGATCTGATGTGCTCCACAGGCACCAAGCACACACGTAATGCACATACATATATGAAGGCACTCACACATACACATAAAATTTTTTAAATTAAGAAAAATGTATTGAGCTTTTGTACATTTCATACAACAGTTCTTAATCAAATTTAGCCCCCCTCCCCCGTTCATGCTCTCCATTGCACATATGAACTTATGGCAGTGGTGGCATTGATCCCAGGACCCAGCCAACTAAATCAGACAAGACCCAGAGTGGAACGAGGGAAATGGGTGGCAGGTCGGCCCTAGTCTGGGAACTACTGGAGACAGATCACTACTGGGTAAGGGAGAGAAGGCCATACCAACAATCTCTAGACAGGCTGACTAGACTCCAGTGGATGAATTTGCATCAAAGGACATCTGGGTACAAACACTTGACTGGATAGGACTCAAGATGCATAGTGGAATACATGAGGTCCGGTGACCAGTTTAAAAATATTTTTTAAAAATCCTAGAACTGGGGCTGGAGAGATGGCTCAGTGGTTAAGAACATTGGTTGTTCTTGCAGAAGACCCAGGTTCAAATCCCAGCACCCACATGGCAGCTAACAACTGTTTGTAACTCCAGTTCCAGCAGAGGATCTGACAGCCTCTTCTGACCTCCATAGGCATTGCACAACACAGGTGCACTTACCTACATGCAGGCAGTACATGCAATACATATAAAAATAATAAATTAAAATTTTTTATAAAAGTTTTTTTAAAACTCCTAGAACTAAGCTGAGCATGGTGACAAATGTCTTCAATCCCAGCACTTGAGAGGCAGAGGCAAGCGACTCTCTGTGAGATCGAGGCCAGCCCGAGGACTTTCAGAGCATCATACTGCATCTATAGCACATCCAGTGCTCGTGAAGGATGCTACTGACCAGTCATGGCAGTC